CCCCAAAACCCCAAAACCCCAAAACCCCAAAACCCCAATATTCAAAGTATTATAATATCAATAAAAATATGAATAAGTATAGGCTCATTCGTAAGCTTGGAGAGGGTACCTTCTCTGAGGTCCTGAAGGCTCAATCTGTTAAGAGTGGAAAGTATGTGGCTATAAAATGTATGAAGAACCATTTCGACTCAATTGAGCAAGTTAAGAAGCTAAGAGAAATCCAAGCTCTTGAGAGACTCTCCCCTCATGCTCATATAATCAAATTGTTAGAAGTTCTCTACGATGGGCCGACCGGTAGACTAGCTTTGGTATTTGAATTAATGGAAATGAACATGTATGAAGCCATCAAGGGCAGGCCCCACTATCTTCCTGAGAATAGAGTTAAGTACTACATTTATCAGCTTATGAAAGCGATTGACCACATGCATCGGAACGGCATTTTTCATCGTGATATAAAGCCAGAAAATATTTTACTCCTAGACGATACAGTCAAACTTGCTGATTTTGGAAGTTGTAGAGGGATCTATTCAAAGCCTCCTTTGACAGAATATATTTCTACCCGTTGGTACAGAGCCCCAGAATGATTACTAACTGATGGTTACTACGGCTACAAAATGGACATATGGGGAGTCGGATGAGTATTTTTCGAGGTTCTTAGTCTCTTTCCACTATTCCCAGGAGACAACGAGCTTGACCAGATCCATAAAATTCATAACATTCTTGGAACCCCAGAGCAGGAGCTCTTAGATAGATTTCAAAAACATGCAACTCATATGGAGTTTGATTTCCCAACTAAGAAATATGTTGGTATTTCAAGACTGATTTCTCATGTGTCTAAAGAATGCCAGGAGTTAATCCTCTGGATGATAACTTATAACCCAGATGATAGACCTTCAGCAAGCCAGATCATAAAGCACCCTTACTTCAAAGATCTCAAAGAAATTGATGACAACAGAAGAAGTGGGCAAGTCAAGGGTGTTGGAATTGACAACCTCTCTCAATATTCAAGGAGAAACAGAGATAATGCTTCTGACGGAGGAGACAGTCAAAACTCCAAGAGTTTCAAGGGTTCAAAGAAGAATTTCGTCAAGAAGCCTCACCAAGTGAATATTTTCCCTCCTATCAAGAACATCAAGGGAGATAAGAAGAAGGGCAAAAAGAAAAATCATCATGAGAATTATCAAAAACTTAAGCACAATTCCTCAAATCATTCTATAACAGGGAAGAAAATTATTCCGACGGTCAAGAAGATAAATAAGTTCAAGATCAGGGACAAGCTAGGTTAAGCAGAGTTAGCTCAGAGTCATCGTGGCCCTAGACAGCCTAACAGACAAACAGGATTAGTTCTAACTCCTGCTCGGGATTTGAATTCAACTTCTCTCCTCTCAAGGGGTTTTGGGGTTTTGGGGTTTTGGGGTTTTGGGG